GGCATTTGTGAGCCAGGCTCAGCACTTCCATGTCACAGGACTTCTAGTTCAAAAGTTACTGGGAAGCTCTCCAAGTGACCTGGGAGTTTCTCAGGATCATCTCTCTCCATAAGCCACAACTAAAACTGTCCAGACAGGGGCTCATAGTTGTTGACATTGTACATGTGCCACAGGTTTCCCTACCATAGCCTAGATGGGGCTTACTGATCAGTACAAGTTCCTTTGGGCAGTCAAATGGATTTCTCAAGAATGCTAAATAATGTGGGGGGGAACCCCATCTTGTTAACAGATCTTCTTTGAGAGAAATAAACTTGTCTATCGGCTAATAACACACAATGTTAGCCTTCTGGTACATTCCAAAATTATTCTCAGAATCCATAATGCTAAAAGGTGTTCCTGGGAGAACTGTTCTTCTGTGGTTGGAGGCCAAGGTTCTTTTCCTTCATTCTTTCTCTTTGTGTGTGTATTTGTCTTTATTTCATCATTGCTTATGGTGGTTGGGACAGGGTGGCCTCCAGCTCACAGCAGCAGTCTTCTTGCCTCGACCTCCCAAGTGTTATGACACCAGGAGAGTGTATACATTGGATTTCAATTTTTTAAGGCTATTATCAATTTACACAAAGGTGTGATTTAGATGGCAGAATTTTCTGACCTGCAGTCCCCCCCTCTCTCTTTTCTTTTGTTACATCATCAAATAATTCAATTTTATAGAAGCCTCATTGGCAGACTTGCAGAACTGTCAGTGTCTGTTTCTTCAGGTCTCCCCTCGGAGACACAGCAGAGAGAGCAATATTTGTTGAGCCTTTCCAGAGAGCAAGCCGACTCCTGGGCTCCTAGTGAGCCTCGGGCCATTAACTCCCAGCAATACATTTCATTCACTCTTGTTCCAGTTTTTAAAGGAGAAAACAGACACTATAGGAAGTGACATACAATGTCACCTGCTGGTAAAACTTGACTTTGATCCTGGGTTAGACCAGTGGGAAAGAAGGTCATGGTCTTTCTGCTTTCTCTGTGTCTCTTTTCCTGGGCCTCTATTTTTCTCTGAGCCTCCTTGGGAATCCAAATTAGGGTTCATCAATTTCTCAGGATTCAATGATAAGAACTCTGCAGGTAAGAGTTTTCTAATGGGTGCCTTTGGCCGCAGACAAATGATTTCATTGCTCCAAGCCTCCACTGCTTAAGCTTTCTCAGGGGAATGAAGTTGTATCTATAGCATTGCATGGGGAAGCAAACGCCCATTGCTGGGCTCTTGCAAGAGCTCTGTTACGTCTGCCCCACCTTCCACTCCAGATGTCTGTTCTCTCTCGGTTTGCCTAACTTTATCTACTCCATGCTGAAGTTAGATTCACTGGGACCATATCCTAAGAAATGTACATAGCATATATGTATATATCCAATAAAAGTAGAGGTGATATTTCCTAGGGGATAAATGGGAAAGGGGAAGGACAATAAAAAAAAGAGTAGGGAAGAACTGGAGAAATATGGCCAAAATACAATATATACAAGAATTAACAAAAAATTATATTACTAAGACATTCAAGCAATCTGATATTTAACCGATAGTTATCCTATAGTTTATGTAGATATAGTTCTTCTTGCATGCATACATAGAAAGGAATACACACAAATACTGAGTGACACAAAACCAAATGTCTAATTGATGTTAAAATCACAAGTGTTTCTTCCTTGTTTACCTAAACTTTTCAAATCAAAATAGCTATTTGTTCCCCTCCCCCCCCCAGAAACAGACATGGCTCTTCTCGCTCTTCTATGACCCTCTTGGTTGCTGGAATGGGGCATGGGAAAGTTTATTCGTCATACCATCTCATCTAACCATAAACACAGTAGCAGCATCTGTATTTCTAGGTTCTTCTCAGCATATCTGAACCCCAGGAGTCAGACATCCTTATCGGCCAAGCATGCTCACACAGAAAGATTACAGATCTCTCCGCTGTAATCTTCTATGGCTCCTTGGCACTTTTCTCACTACCCAGATGAAATGAACCCCAGCTTTTCATCCCTTACTTCTGATTGGCACACTGCCTGGCTTGTCCCACCTCTGCCTTGCTTAAAGCCTGTGCAAGTGTTCCTCTTCCCTGCCTTCCCACCAGCTCTCCTATGCTGAGCCTCTTGTACTCCTCATCTTCTAGCCCAACACTAGACCATGGGGAGATATCTGTAGGATGAAGCAGTGTTTACTATACATCTGCAGACATCCACTGCTCTAGTAAAAAGAAAGGAAAGAAGGAAATAAGGAAGGAAGGAAGGGGAGGGGGGGAGGGAGGGAGGGAGGGAGGGAGGGAGAGAGAGAGAGAGAGAGAGAGAGAGAGAGAGAGAGAGAGAGCAAGCCAAGGTTGACAGCCCATGTCTTTCCATCCATTGCAATTCCAATTGCTATGATGCATGTATCATAAAACACATAGAATCTTGAAATTTGTGAATTGACAAAATAAATATTTCCTATGATTTTCTTGACTATTGGGAAATTCTTCTACCTTAAAGATCGCTGAGATGAATGGCTGCCAGTGAATTCGCAGAAGGTAGCAAACAGTTCTGACAAGGTCTGTACCTTACAGGTGCTTCCCAAACATGCTAAAGTTTGACCCTTTGTTGGAGAATTCATTTGGTGATGAGTATTCTTGGATATTCCACAATCCAAAAAATGACCAAGACAGAAAAGGTGGGAAGCCTTGAGGGATGCATGGGGTTAGACTTGAACCTGGGTCCCAAACTTTGAAATGAAACAATTTATTTAATTATATAATGATGTAGTTGGTAAGTCTTGACAGTTCTACTGAGGAGGGCTGTCATAAGCATTCTGGAACAACATAGTCTCTTCCTTAGCTTTGGTCTGATATTGTAACATCTTGGCATGGTATGGCCCAGTTCATCAGAGGCTCTGATTGAAGACTGAAAAAAAAAGAGGAGGAAATGAATATATATGTGACTTAATAAATGAAGCCTTGTGGAGAAACTTTGCAGGAGGAGAAGATTCATGAACAGGGGGTCTTGGTGCAATGATTCTGTTCAATTTCTTTAACATTTGGTGAGTACTGACTCTAGGCTCCTACATGCTCTGGTGTCCTGGATCGTCACACAGAGCATCTTTAGTGCTCATAGAAACTGCATAAAAACCAGAGCGCCGGGGGAGTGGACAGCTTTCAAATGGACGAATGGAAGTCATTTTCCCCCCAAATCATAGAGCTAATAAAATGGTAGGCAGTGATGTAAGCCTCGATTCTGTTAAACTTGGGAAACCCATTCTAAGTGTGAACCATGCCCACAGGATGTATTGTATATTTTAATGTTGCAGATGTTTGAACTATAACCAAGAAAACAACGGTATCAAATGGGGAAGACCAGGCCTGTTCAGAGAAAGGTGTGGTCCTCTCTATTGTGCTGACTGCTAAGTGTGTCAGGGAAGGCTCTCATGGTGAATAGGGAATACTGGTTTGGACAGTTGAATCATGGCCCAAAGTTTTTGAGTGAAGAAACCAAGACCCGGATGGAAAAGCCACCCCCCCCCAATGTACCTTGGTCATTGATCCCCACTTCTTGCCTTGTCCTTGATGAAGCTCTGAAAAGAAACAGCCAAATGACACATGAAACAATTCTATGAAACATCAACTTGCAGTTAGGCTCAAAGTTTGGCATTGACATGATGGGAGCTATAGAATGCAGCTGGAGTTGGTGGCCGTGAGCCACGGGCTGGAATTGGTGGCTGTGAACCATGGGGGTGTCTGTTATGTGTGTACACCCCACCCCCCAATCAGAAGTTCTGTGCCTCTTAGGATCCAGCTAAATGTTCTAATCTGGGATGGGCTGTGTTTCCTGAGGTTAAGGCCTTTTGCAGAGCTGGCGACATAGGATTGTGTCTTACACATATTCTGCCGTCAAGGTGTGAGACAGTAACAGCCCTTGCTGACGGGCGACGCCTGTGTTGTACTGTATACTTGTGTGTGTCTGTGCTTATGTCCTCTCTTGTACTCGATGCACTGCATGTGTGGAAAGGTCCTCCACAGACAAGATGGTGAGTGCTCCCAAGCTGTCCCTTCCTTCTGAAGAGTTAGGCATTTGCTCACAGAACTGTCAAAAGCTGTAACCTTGGAACTATGTGATACATTTATTCTAGGTACTATATATGATATATATCACAGAAACTCAGAGTCAGGCTCTCTGCCTTTTGGAACTCATAAAATGCCAGTGTCCCAATGTGACGTAAGGATCCTAGTGTGTCAGATCTCTAGCATTAATATATGCAACAAATATCTCTCCTGTGAATTGTGTGGGCCTGGCATTATGTTACGATCTTTGGATAAAGGAGTAAGACCGCTAAAACTCTTGATTTTAAAAAGTTTGCAAAGAATGTTAGAATTTAAGAATCGTAAAATATTAGGTCCTCAGAAAACTAAAACACTGGTATGCTGAAGTTCTAAGCTACTAAAGGTGGGGGAGAGCCTTAGATCATTTTTTCCAGCTCTCACTGCCTTTTTATGAGGCCCAGGACTTATTGCAGGCAAGTTGGATTCAAATCTCACTAATAAGAACATCATTTCAGTTCAGTGACATCACAGAATGGCTGGGTCGCAAGGGCTCGGCCTTCACCCAACCCTGGCTGCTCATTTTACCAGAGAGGCCACTATGGCTCATAGAGGGCAGCCGCTTATTCTGTAAAAAGGCTCAGTCAGCAGAAGACAACCACAGGCTTTCCAGCCTCAGTCAAAGAAAGGCTAAACAACGAAGACCCTCCTGCTGTTTCTGAGGTGCTCTTTGCTAGGCCCACTTTTGTGAGCTGTCCCTGCTCTTCAGAAGGAGCGCCAACTTTCTTTGCACAGGGACAGACCTTGTCCAGGCCACACACACGTGCAGTGGATCGTAGCGTTCAGAGCCCCTTTCCCCGTTGATGCGTGTTTTATTTTGTTGCCTCCCCTTCCCTGTGTGCCTCGAAATCGATTTTCATTATTTTTTTTTCTGTCTGTGTTTGTCTTTGTGGCCCGCAGGTGCTCCCTTGCATTGTTCATCTGCTTCATCAACCCCTATTGAGCAGTCCCCCTCCCCGCCCCCCTCCCCTCCGGCCAATGAGAGCCAGAGGCGGTTGCTAGGCAACGGTGTGGCCCAGCCAACCCCGGACTCAGACTCTGAGGAAGAGTTTGTCCCTAATTCATTCTTAGTTAAAAGTGGCTCCGCCAGCCTGGGGGTCGCAGCAAACGGTAAGTGCTTCTCTCTTTTGCTAACTTTTAATAGTTTGTTGCTTTTCTTTCTTCTCGTGGGCTATGCCTGCTCCCAACCGCTTGCAACTTGCAGGGGTGGAGTGACTTGGTGCATGGTGGGCTTGTGGGCAAGCAGGGACCTGGGTGGTTTTGTGGGCTTGGGGTAGGTAGTGCCTATCTCTGCTCCACAGAGAAGGCTTTATCCCGCGACAGGTGCATGCAACAGAGGATCACAAACATCAGGAGACAAACACCAGGCAGAGACAAAGACCCAAACTGAAGGGTAGGGGACATGCTATACTGATTGGCTTGCTGCTGTGTGCAAAGCGACCTCACCAGGCATAGTCACCTGTTGCTTCATTAGATTCTCCCTACAAGGTTACCAAGAGAGCAGTATTAAACTGACCCTCATTAACAATACGAAAACCAGAGAGAAAGAATGTTGCCTGAAGCCCAAGGCTGTTTTTGAAAGTTTCCTAGTCTGAAGTTGCCGGCAGCTACAGAGCTAAATCTGACCACAGGCAGAACTGTTGGGTTTCAGCTTGATCTGCCCATGGTCCACTCCTTTTCTCTGCTTTCCTCAAGAAGAGGAGGTGTGAGGATGTAGCGAACGAGCTATATCTAAATCCTGCACTGTTACCCTTGGCCAGAGATACCCGCCTGCTCAGCAGCAGTCAGTGTGCATTTCTCCACAAAGATGTTCCTGCAGGGGATTCAAGCCACTGTGGGGTGGATATAACACTGGATGTGAGGGCCTTGAGATTATAATAACCGCACCAAAGTTTTCCAATTCTAATAGGAAACATTAGGCTTTTCCAGAAAATACCACAGGAGGGTGTATATTGAACTGGCAAGCATTTGTTTATGAATACCCGTATGGGCTACAGGGGTGGCTCAGTGATTAAGAGTGTATACTGTTCTTTCAGAGGCTCTGAGTTCTGTTCCAGGCACTCATGTCAGGTGACTCCCAACTACCTGTAACTGTAGTTCCAGGGAGATCTAATGCTGCTGGCCTCTGATGGCCTCTGTACACGGGCACAGGTACACATACACATGATTTAAAATAAAGTAAATCTTGTAAGTGCCTTACGAAGCTGCATTCTAGGCCATACTCTGGTAAAAGAGCAGAGATGGAGAGAAGCATGAGGCATGGTTGTTGGTGGACCCACACAGTCCTGCACCCAATCAAAGCCCTGTGCCTGGGGGATTTGGACAAATCTGACTGACTCCCCAAGTTTCTTCAAATGTGAAAGCAGGCAATGTGCTATCCAGGTCACAGTGAACAGCATCATAGGGTCTGGGGTGGGAGCTCGCTAAGTGTTAGTGCTTACCTCACCAGCTGCCACTTCTCTGTCTTGGACACACACAGAGTGTCACTGTGAAAGCTCTCCACACATAGTGGAGCATTCGGCATGCTGGGAGAAATACCAGAGGCCCTCTCTTTTCTCAGGAACAGAGGGAGAAAGCTAAGGGTGATAAGAAACGATGGAGCCTGGTGTGTTAGGTGACAGGGTGATTGAGAGTAAGTCTCCCCACTGCCTGAGAGAGCTGGAAATGCCTCCTAGGGATGCCGGCTGGGCGGGAGAGAATGGGTGGGTGGAGCAGACTTTGATGTCAGGACTAGACAGCGGGTACACATGGACATAGAATCCTGGGTAGGAGTTGGGAAGCCTGCTTCCACTCCTTTACTCCTAGGAACCTTGGCACAAAATAGGCAGTGGCCTGGAAGGGTGTGAAAGGCCTCATAAGCTGCGCACATAGGCCCTGCATACTTTGTGACCAAACTCCATCCATCCCAGGACCCCGTGTTTTGGAGACTTTCTCTGAGTCAGAACACCCTTAGAGAGGACAGAAGTAGGAATCCTGAACTAGGGGTGAAAGACCTGGGTTCCAGCTCTGTGGGCCACTGGATATTTGTCCTTGGCAAGTCACTGTCTCGCTTCAGGCCATCTTGCCAGTTTCTAAGGTATTCTGGTTTTATTGTCATGTGGTACTGATCGTACCTCTGCCAGTCATGATATGAGCTTGTTGAGGAAGAAAAATTACATGTGTGTATACATATATACATGTGTATGTGTGTGTATATATATATATATATTATAGTACACATATATAGAACAAATGTAGATAGATTGGTAGATAACTGATAATGTTCTTCACTCATTTCTAGATAAATAAGCCTTGAAGGAAAAAAGAAGACAAGAGACGAAAGTCCTTAATCTATCCCTTTGCTACTAACTACCCATAGCAGCGCCTTTGTCACATGCTCTGAGGCAAGATGAGGCACTGTGACTTTGTTGATGTGCAGGAACCATGGGAGGCCTTTGGCCTACAGCTGTTTGCTCAATTCAGCTCCTCTGTGCTCCTGCTTCCCCAGGGCCTCGCTCTGAGAGTGTCTCTCTAACCACCATTAGTAAGTGTGGCCTTTGCGGGAGGGAGTGTCTGGGCTCTGCTTGGTTGCTGTTCTGGTGCCGGGAAAGTCTATTGCTATGCTCCGTCGTCTTTCTGTCCCTAAAGTCCCACATGGGAATGTCCTGCTGGTGCAAGTGACAATAAGCAGGTCACTACATTGTGGCTCCAGTAAATGTTTCTACAGTTTTATTTGATTTTAAGGGGGGGGGGGGAGTGTGAATATATTTTAATGAAATTACCTGTATTGCTTTTGGTAATCATAGACGTAAGGATGCTTATTTATACCCCAGATGATCTAGGAAAGTGAAAGGTGACGTTGTCACATATTCTGAATTCCAGAGACAACCTTGTTCAGCCGTTTGGTCTGTGGTCTTACAAATGCTCTTTATTCAGTATTAATTTATTCTTTATTCATTAATAAATGAGTAAATGACCCAATGAGCAAGCTACAGAGCCAGCTCCCCAATGTGCCATCTCAGGAGGGTCCCCACCCCCACAGTTGCTCCATTCTGAGGTAAGGACAACCTGCCCTAGTAGTGATGGTTTTTAGATAACAAAGCTGGGTACTAGGGATGAAAGTCAGAGGGCGAGCACTTTGCTAGCCTGAGAGGCCCTGGGCAGGATCAGAAAATAACCAAGATGGTAGGTAAATGTCTTGTCTCCATACATTACCTGCTACTGAGCTGAGGCTTGAGGGCACCCAAGGCAGGTCATATGCTAACTCCCCAAAGGGCAGCTCACCTGAGACTTCATTCCAACTGGACTTAAATGTTGTGGGCTGCTTCTCTGGCTACTGGAGAGTGACAGCACAGAGGTTTCTCACTTTCCAGTGGTTTCCAGAGGTAGTGGGAGGGAGTTGGCTCCTTGGAACCTGCTTTCTCTGGGCCTAGGCTGCCTTCTAGCTGTTGCCGCTGGAGTCTCTACCAGCAGCTGTGTCAGCTTCAGCCAGTGCTGGGACCAGGGTCTGCGAGACCTCAGAGCTGCCCTGCAGAAATCCCTATGTAAAGCACAGAAAGAAGTGTGGGGCATCTCTGTGCAGCTCATTGTCTCCATGGAAAAGAAGAGAGGGTAAGTCACTCTTTCTGTCATCACAATCCTAATCCTCCCCAGGGCACTCGTACAGAAGTCACCCATGTGAATAGGAAAAGATCAACTGGGCACAGTCCAGGAGCTCGGGAAGTGGTTAGGATTAAATAAATGCCTGTCCTAACCCCATAGAAACGTCCAGAATCAACAGTGTTTCATCAATTGAGCTAATCTAAATTCTGAAGCTGGGGCCTTTGGAAACTTAGGGGTGGGGCTTAACAGGGTCAGGAAATAAAGAGCCCTGAGATAGCAATGAAGAGCTGTGGAAAGCTTCCTGAAGCCAAGGAAGGTAGGAGAAGCTGAGAAAGCATGCGTCTAATGAGCACCTCCTGTATACACACCTCTCCTTTATGCATTACTGTCTGGGCTTCAGTTATTTACATTTTACTTTGGGGGAAATGGAGGTCCAGAGATGAGGACAGTGATGTAATCATGACCCCACTGGAAGAAAAAGACTCAGAACCAAAGCATGCTTGCCTCCAGGGCCTCTCTATCTTCTGCTTTATTTCTGATGCCAGATTCAGGTCTTTCCATATCCAGAGTAAAACTAAGTAAAAGGACTCCTACTAGAACTGGGTTGGATATTTTTTATTATTATTATTTTAAAGAACTCCAGGTTGTTTGATTCCTATGGCTCACCTCATTAGCATTTATGAGGCACTCCACACTGGGGAGCCTCTTTATCTTAGGGAGTCATTAATTCCTCTTATCTATCCTGTGAGCTGTTCCTGTCTCATCGAAGGAACAGAGTCCTAGAGAGGTAAGCCCCTTTCCTTCCTCTGCCTCATGGGGCCTCTGAGTGATAGGGTCAAATTTGAACTCTAGGCCTGCCTGAGACCGTAACATGGAATCTTTATGGTATATTTTTATGGGGACTTCAATGGTTTCATAGATGAATCGGGCCAGATATTTGCAATATAAAATTTTGTTGCAAATCCCCAAAAGCAAACCCTACATGTGTCCTTGGCTTCTCTGAGGCTCCAGGCCCTTCCTGCCTGGCCTTAGGAAATGCTTCACTGGCCAGCAGCAAGGTTGTTTGGCATTTTCATTGACTTGCTTAGGTCTTAGGCAGCTGGGAGTATTTTTGTTTTGACTTCCAATCCAGCAGAGGAGTGTTTATTTTTCTTTCTAAATGGGAAACACTGCTATGTAGGCAAGCTCCTTCCAAAAACTGTTTTCTTTAAAAAAGAAAAAATCCAACTTAATTTAGAACCTATGCAGAGTTCCCAGGGGAGTCTGCTGGGTCCTTTTAAGTCAGCTTGTGAAATCAGAAGGCAAAATGAAGCCTGCTTCTAACGATAGAGAGACGTGCCCGGCCAAATTGTCTTCCTTCTATTGCTATGAATTCCATGGAACTGGTGGCAGCCACAGGACTTGGGTCTGACTGCTTGACATGTTCCCAGAGTGAAAGGCTGCTGGGGTGCGGAAAGTTCTCTGCAAATTCTGTCCTCTGCTTCTCTCAACTCTTCTTGGATCTAAAGGCACTTGTTGGTAAATATGTT